TATTAATTTTTTTGTGACATTAACATCATATAATAACACACAAAGTAAGTAAAATTTGATAATCTTAGCTTTATTCAGTAACCACATATATTTATAGACAACTAGCTCACCCTGCAAACATTGTTTTGCCATATAAATATTAAACAAATAGAGGTTGATGGTAGAAGACTGAAAATTTAGCGTTGTAAGTATTTTTTAATATGTGACACATTATAAAAAAAATAAAGAATGTCCAAGAAATAAAAAATAATACATCAATACTGAATATGCATATAAAATTTATTTATAATTGGTATAATATTTGTTGCAAATAAATGATTATGATTATGAAAATGGTAATTACAAAAACACATTGTAAAATATTAAAGAAGAGGTATGTTTAACACGCGCCAGCAAATATGATAACTGGTCCTTGATAATCATTACAAGTGAGAACACTTATCATATTAATTAATTGTTTTTATCATGCAAATTTTATGACCTGCCAAGTCACTAACTAAGTATAATCTATATATTTTTTTATATATATTGGTTTTTATTGTGAAATACTCTGACATATGCTATGTTTTAATTTATGTATGAGTTTGTACAACATTTTGACCTATGAAATATGATGATGTATGAATAGAATAGAAAATCATTTATTCAAATAAACTTACATTGAAGCACTTTTGAATAGTCATAACATTTTTTAGTCTACCGCTCATCCAGAAAGCTGTCTCATCACAAGAAGATAGAGCAAGAAACTTGTATGTTGCTCTTTTAATTTAATAATTTGATTATTACTTTACATTTTTAAGTTTAAGTGTGTGAATACAAACCACCAATTAGCACTAAACTATGAAGTTAGAGTGCCCAATTGAACTAATGTCTGACATTTTCTAAATGTTCTATGCTTCTCAACTGTGATCGACTCTGCCTTTGTATGTAAACATCAGTAAGTGCTTACTCAAAATAATATATAGGTATATCAAAACAAAACAACATGACAGAGTAAGAGCAGTTATCAAATTTTATTATTACAGATAACAGCTTTGTCAAATTGAAATGTGTCAGATAGTAACTTGATATTTACATATTCATTATCATATCACTGTACAGATCATGTGCCTGACAGGTGATATTATTTCTAAACATAAATATTTACATTTAAAATGGTTTTGCTACAAAATAAGTTAATATAATACACTGTCCCTATTGTAATTTCTTGACAGTACTGCAGTATATGAATGTATAATATTATAGAACACATAGTTAATCTTGTATATAAAATTCTCATGTAACAATGTTACTTACCATATCCTCCGAAACGGCTGGACTGATCTTTATGAAATTTTATATGCATATTCAGTAAGTCGGCTACTATCCATTTTTGATACTGCTAAGTGATAAGGGTTGTCCACCTGTATTTCTTGTTTTATTCTTTATAGTGTGGTATTAAAAATACACCTAAATTATCACCCTCCTACCATCAACTACTATTTTATTTATGAGAGTATGACTAGTTATGCCACGCTGCATTTGGAAAATTTCAACCATTGCTAACACTGTCCCTAATTAATATTATTATTATATATAAAAGTGCAATAAAGATAAATATAATAATAAAACATTAAATATACATTGTCTTCCTAATCTTATACTAAATCGTAGTAACATAAATATGAAACTTGTCTCCCACAACATCCTACAACCACATAAATGTTAACAAACATATGCGGGGCACCATGAATGGTAATTACACCATTGATCATGATGCCCACCCCAATATTTAAAATACACTCAAAGAAGGCATCTGAATTGATACGAATGACATGAAATTAAATTAATTTGTATTTAATTATGTAGATGCTTAAAACACGGGACGCTCACTAACTCCTTTATTTTTTATCCTAGTCAGTATAGATGTATGTATAATTGTATATATATAGTAAAGTATTGGTTGTGTTCATATCTGTTACGTTTGGTTTGCAGTCGTCGATCCACTCTCGCACCGCGTACGTGATATCAGCGATTGTGACCGCGGAGAGCGAGGAGTGCCTCCTCAAGCGCATCGAGCACTTCATCGACCACCTCCAGCAGTATCCTGAAGCCAGGGACTACGCCATCAAGGTACTGCCACAGACCTATTATATATTATTTCTTCTGTCATGTTCTACTGATCAACGGAGCCTAAACTGAGTTGAAATTAAAAAGAATTAAAAAAAAAAATTAATACCTTCCCATCCTGTATTAGGTAAATGAGCTTTATGGCCAATTTAATTTTCCACTCTAATGCCTGTGTAGCCGACGAGCCTCGCGTCTACAAACTGGACCTGTAAAATAAAATTCTGTATGTTATTTGGTAATTAAATTGATCCCACCGCTGGTGCGTAGATAGCGACCCCTATGCAGTGCATCCTCACGCTATATATATATATATATGCGCTGGCGACACGGACAGCTGTAACTTCAATTATTGTTTCATTCCTGAGTATGTCACCACTCCACGCTTACTTGCACCGGCTTCAGCATGTTACAAAGTAAATGGGTCTCATACAATATTTGTTGTTTACTTGCAGGAAGGTGCGGTGAGAGCACTTCTGCGAGTGCAGGACAAACTTTCTGATGAAGCTATCAGTAAGGAACTAGGCGGCGTAGTTTGCGAGGTACGTAGCTTTGTGTTGTGAATACAAACTACCAATGTTACTTGAGTAACAAAATAAATCAGTTATAGTTATCAGTACAGATCAATCCCTACAAGACTACTAAAATGATTCATATAGTCGCCTTATGAAGCGTAGTGAGCGTCGGCTGCCGGTTAGGAGTTGACATTCCCTAGGTCATATATATATCTATATATTATAATTTTAATCTTTTCCCCACCGTCCAGTATGGTATATAGTTGCAATTGAGAACTGACAAGAAACTCAATTGAATTACTTTTTTTTTTTTTCGTCTGGATCGAAGGCTCTCCTGGACGAGACGAACCAATCTCAGATTCAGGAATTTGTACGGCCTCTTCGGTAAAAACTCTAACTTCTATCAAGAAGTTAGAGTTTTTACCTAAGAGGCCGTACATTTTATAAACTAGCCACTTGTTTTCTATCAAGAAAACAAGTGGATAGAGTATTTATAGCTATTATACCTACCCTACAACTGGAGAAGCGCTAGTAGCTCCAATATTGGAATTTTTCAACGGTTCCAGAACGCCATTTTAAAGACAATTCTTAAGGAACCATGGTTTATAAACAACTTGAAGATCCATCATTTTTCGAATTTACTCACAGTACGAGAGGAGCGTGTTAGCGCAAGCTCAAAATATAACGCTCGGCTGAATGTCCACCCTAATGATCTAACCCAGAAGTTACTCATTAACGCCCTCCCATTATTTCTGAAAAAATACACAAATACTGGAGTCGGATAAAGTATACTTCAGTTCTTGACAACTCAACATATCGCCGGAGGCATCGATTAAATAAATAGTCATGCACTCCGTCGACTACAGACTTGCATTGTCATTTAACGGTCCATCCGATTATAGTGCACTCGCTGATTAAGGATATCCATATAACAAAAAGAAAGTTTATTATTTAGTCGTACCATTCATCATTGCCTTGTCTTTATCCCATTATTTGGGGTCGGCGCAGTATGTCATTCTCTTCCACTGCTCTCTATCGGTCGTCATATCTGAACATACTATTCTTTTATTCATATCATCTTTCACACAATCCATCCATCTTTTCTTAGGGCGTCCCCTCCCTTTACATCCATCCACATTCATAGTATACACTTTCCATAAGACATGGTCCTCATTCCTCCGCATAACATGTCCATACCAGCTCAATCTGTTACCTCGTAACTTTTCTATAACCGGCGCAACTTTCAAACTTCCTCGTATATACACATTCCTTATTCTGTCATTCCTGGTAACCCCACACATCCATCTTAACATTCGCATTTCTGCCACATGCACACGCCTTTCGTCCATCCCCTTTACGGCTCAACATTCAGATCCATACAAAATGACAGGTAAGACCTGTCATTGATAGATTGATAGATTTATAAACTTTACCCTTTAGTTTCAAGGGCATTCGGGGGTCGTATATCGTTCCTGTGACCTGTCGCCATTTCATCCATCCCGCACTAATTCTGTGCCTTATATCGCGGTCTATGTCGGCATTGTTCTGAATAACTGAACCGAGGTACCGAAAATCGGAGCAGACCGGAAGCATTACCCCGTTTAGACAGATAGGCATGAAACTGGAGAGACCGCCGAAATCGCAGAATAGGTATTCAGTTTTAGTTCTGCTGATCTTCAAGCCAACACTCGCCAGTTTTTCTTGCCATCTATCTATTCTACTCTGGACCTCGATTCCATCCTCACCAACAAGCACAATATCGTCGGCAAACAGCATACACCAGGGTACCTCGTCTTTAATGTCTGATGTCAGAGCATCCATTACAATGAGGAAGAGGTAAGGGCTTAGAGCCGAACCCTGGTGTAAGCCTACCACCACACTGAACTTGTCGGAGGCACCTACCGCCGATCGGACGTATGTGTTAGACCGGATGTATATGGCACGTATTAGATCTACATACTTCCCTGGTACACCTTTCTTCTTTAGGGTCCACCACAAAACTAGACGGGGAATTCGGTCGTATGCCTTTTCGAGATCGACAAATACCATGTGCAAATTTTTATTTACCCTCCGGTATTTTTCGCACAGCTGGCGTAATGCAAAAATGGCATCCGTGGTGCCTCGGCCAGGCATAAAACCGAATTGATTTTGTGAAATATCACACTCCTCTCGCAAGCGTCTCTCTATCATTTTCTCCCATACTTTCATAGTATGTGACATAAGCTTTATTCCTCGATAATTGCTGCAGTCTTGAACATCACCCTTATTCTTGAAGATAGGTACCAATATGCTTTGGCACCATTCTTCAGGAATAGTTTCTTCATGCAACAACTTATTGAAGAATAAAGTGAGCCACTTACATCCATTTTCACCCAATAACTTCCATACTTCCACTGGTATTCCATCTGGTCCTACGGCTTTACTGTTTTTCATACTTCGCACGGCTTGTTTTACGTCTTCCATTCTTACTTCTCTGACTAAACCCACATTCACTCTTTCCTCTCCTATCGATTTATTCCATGAATTTTCTTCATTCATTAAGTTTTCAAAGTAATTTTTCCATCGATCTTTTATATCATCTTCTTTCATTAGAACCTTTCCTTTATCATCTTTTATACATTTTACATATACTCCATCGTTTGTATTCTTATCTCTCATTTTTGCTAGTCGGAAGAGCTGCTTTTGGCCTTCGGAAGTATCTAATGAGGCGTAGAGTTTATCTTGGAATTCAGCTCTTGCCGTTGCAACAGCTTTCTTTGCCGTCTTTTTGCATCCTAAATACACTTCCTTTTTTTCGTCTTTTGTATTATCATTCTCTTTACAGCTCTTTTGCCATTCTTTAAACGCTCTTTTCTTCTCTTCAGTATTTGTTGCACACTTTCATTCCACCACCAAGTATCTTTCTCTATCATTCTCGTCCCTTTTGTTTCGCCAAAAATATGTTTTGCTATACCTCTCATTCCATTCGCTATTACATTCCAACATTTGTTAACAGATTTTCCTTCCATATTATTCATTTCTATCATCATATCATTCACTTGTTCTTTAAATTTCATTGCATTCTCATCCCTCTCGAGCATGTGCCATCTTATTTTTGGGGGCGGTCGGTTTTTGTTTTTATTATACTGAACCCTAATTTTTGTATCAAGTATTAGTAGTCTATGTTGTGATATCAGATCCTCACCCGGTAGGACCTTACAGTCTCTGACACAATTGATTTTGTTTCTCCTGACTAAGAAATAATCAATCTGTGTCTTATGGTGTCCACTTGTGTAGGTAATTAAATGATCTTCTTTCTTTTTAAATCATGTATTGGTGATGGCCAAGTCAAAAGCGGAAGCTGCCTCTAGTAATGTCTCTCCTCCTCGGTTGCGATTTCCAAATCCTTAATTTCCATGCACTCTCTTATAATCGTCATTCAATCTTGTCACATGCCCATTAAATTATTTATTTATTTCGAATGGTGATTCATTCGAAATAAATAAACTCATCGACCGTCGCCCGAGTGTCCCGGACGCGGTCGTGACGGGTGGCGTGGTGCAGGCGCTGGCGCTGGTGGGGCACGCGGGCGCGTGGCGCGGGCGCGGGCCGAGCGTGCTGGCCATCGACGGCGGCGGCGTGCGCGGGCTGGCGGCCATCCACCTGCTGCGGCGGCTCGAGGCGCTCACCGGCCGCCGCGTGCACCAGCTGTTCGACTTGATCGTCGGCGTCAGCACCGGCGCCATCATCGCCGCCGTCATCGGTACCGTCCTCCATATTTAGCTCTCCTCGATATCGCTCGCTCATGCGATCGTAGCCTCCCGAATTCCACCGAATTATTGAAGTGATCGATTTTATATTTTTTCTTTAAGGAAGCGGAGTCGGTAACCTGGACACGGCCAGTGAGATGTATCATACGTTATCCAAGAAAATGTTTGGCAACACTTCGGTGATAGGAGGTAATTTTTTTTTTTTTTTTGTTCTTTTATAATTTATATGTATATTTCACAACCGATGATCTATCGTAATCGAGAAGTAATAGTAATATATCGATATTATCTCGATTTTATATATTTCATATATATATATCTCGATACTAGAACTAATACCGTTTTCGCAGGCACGTCGCGGCTCGTATGGACGCAGTCATATTACGACACGCAGGCGTTCGAGGAGATGCTGCAGCAGAATCTCGGCGATCTGACGCTCACCCAGTGCAACAGGTTCCACACACCGAAGGTATTGTGACCCAAATATCATTATTTACTATGTAGCAATCGTATTTGATTATTCATTCATTCATAATTTAAGAGCTGTGCTCTTGTCGGTGAAGCTTCCGCCACCTTCCACGATCTTCTATCAGTCCTTTTATCTGGTGATACGACACGGCTCCAACTTTTTCTTTTACTCGCTTGATATAGCTGTGTCTCGGTCTTCCCCTTCCTCTCTTTCCATCTTTTTTTTTTTCTTTCGATAATGTTATTAATTAGTTCGTCGTGTCGTGTCAAGTGCCCCAACATTATTCTCGCCTATTCTCAATAATATCTATCATCTGTCTCTTTTTTGTCTCGAATTTTGAAATAACTTATTATTATTATTATTTTTTTTGTGGTGCAGCTGGCGCTGGTGTCGTGCGTGGTGGGCGACGGCGCGGCCCACCCGTTCGTGTTCCGGTCGTACGCGGCGCGGGCGCGCGCGCGGCCCGCGCTGGAGGGCACGGCGCGCGCGCCGCTGTGGCACGCCGTGCGCGCGTCCGCCGCCGCGCCCGCCTACCTCGCCGCCTTCCGCGCCGCCGGCCGCCTGCACCTCGACGGCGGGCTCGTGGCCAACAACCCCGCCGCGCTCGCGCTGCACGAGGCGCGCCAGCTGTACGGGCCGCTCGCGCCGCGCCGCGCCACGCTCGTCTCCGTCGGCACCGGCCGCGCCCCGCGCCCCGCGCCCGCCGCCGCCCCGCCCGCCGCCGCCGCCGGCTGGCGCGACAAGTTCGACGCCGTGCTCTGCTCCGCCACCGACACCGAGGCCGTGCACCGGCTGCTGGCCGACACGCTGCCCGAGGACGCCTACTTCCGCCTCAACCCGCCGCTGCTGCAGCCCTGCGCCATGGACGAGACCGACCCGGCGCGGCTGGCCGCGCTGCTCCGCGACGCCGACGACTACGCGCGCCGCAACCGACACAAGCTCGACCGCGTCGCCGCGCGCCTGCTGCGCCCGCCCACGCTCCTGCAGCGCGCGCACCACGCGCTCGCCCGCCGCGCGCTCATGCTAGGACTGACCGCCGACTGACTGACTGACTGACTGACTCGCCGCGCGCCTGCTGCGCCCGCCCACGCTCCTGCAGCGCGCGCACCACGCGCTCGCCCGCCGCGCGCTCATGCTAGGACTGACCGCCGACTGACTGACTGACTGACTGACTCGCCGCGCGCCTGCTGCGCCCGCCCACGCTCCTGCAGCGCGCGCACCACGCGCTCGCCCGCCGCGCGCTCAAGCTAGGACTGACCGCCGACTGACTGACTGACTGACTGACTCGCCGCGCGCCTGCTGCGCCCGCCCACGCTCCTGCAGCGCGCGCACCACGCGCTCGCCCGCCGCGCGCTCATGCTAGGACTGACCGCCGACTGACTGACTGACTGACTGACTCGCCGCGCGCCTGTTGCGCCCGCCCACACTCCTGCAGCGCGCGCACCACGCGTTCGCCCGCCGCGCGCTCAAGCTAGGACTGACCGCCGACTGACTGACTGACTGACTGACGCGCCGCGCGCCTGTTGCGCCCACCCACACTCGTGCAGCGCGCGCACCACGCGCTCGCCCGCCGCGCTCCTGCTAGGACTGACCGCCGACTGACTCACTGACTGACTTATAGCCCGACGGACTGGCCGACTGACCGACTGAGTTTACACGCGCTACGCTACGACCGCCCACGCTCTGACTGACTAAAGAACCACGATTTTCTAAAAAAAAAAACTTTCATAATGGGTACCGATCTGTGAATTTATAATACTTATGTCGATCTTATTCGCTTTAGCAATAAAATTGAGTTAGTTATTTGTTTCATAAACAAATATTTTATAGTTTATTTAGAGTGAATTTATTTTAAAAGTTGTCACGACTTAATCTACTTTTAAATGTACCGTTACCTCCCTACTCCTAGTACGTGCAAATGATAACTTACTATAAGTAGACTATGTTACGTCATAGATTATATGTATATCTAGTCATTTATTTAGAAGAAGAAAAATTATAAAAGAAAAAAAAAATTGTAATATATATGTTGATTTTCAATTGTGATTATTAAAGTTTATAAAATAATTGATGAGGTTTTATTTTTGTACAATGTATGACATCAAGCCGACGCAGGAACTACCATCCCGACCGGGTCTTTCTCTTAGGATGGCGCTTCACAGCCCTTCGCATCTTCGAGGGTGACCCGAAATGAACTCCACCACGGGACGCGTCCCTCTCACGTGATGCTCGACGACAGAACCCGACCCGGGTCCCGGGGGGGGGGTGGGTGGGAGAGTAGTCCTCGGTGTCCTCGGTGACGGGTCATTGGGGCGGAAGGATCACACTCCCGGTCCCTCTCCGCCGCCTCCTTCTGCGAAATAAGTAAGTACTGCTAGCCACGACCCGTCGCTCCTAACCAGTGCCCGCACTAAATTCGGCAACGAGACGTCGGCCCTCACTTCCGTGACCAAGACGCGGCGCTCCTCTACAAATGCAGGTCACTCCTCCAGAACGTGCTACGCCGTGTCTTGGTCGCATCTGCACTGGTGGCACATTGATGGAAAAAAAAAAAAAACAACGTCTTAAATTTAATAAAATCTTATTTATCTGATAGAATACAGAAAGTAAAGGTTAGCAGCGCTACGTCTGACGGGTCACTTGTGCAAATGGGTGTACCTCAAGGATCTATTCTCGGTCCATTTTTAATCCTAGTATACATAAATGATCTCCCATATGCCATGCAGGATAGATGTGGGATAGTGTTATTATTATATATATTCTTATTACAAAAACGTGCCATTCGAGCGATCTACTGTATGAAGAGTCGTGACTCATTAAAAGAGAAATTCAAAGAGGCAAATATTCTCACCGTTGCTTCTCAATTTATATATTCAAATATCCTATATGTTCCAAAAAAAAAAAATATTGACTTATTTCCAAAAAAAAAAAAACAGCAATATTCATAATATTAATAATAGATTTAAAGACAAACTTGATGTCCCCAAGTATCGTTTAGAAAAAGTCAATAGGTCTTTTATGGGAATAGGTATAAAAAAAAAAAAAACCCCCATTTTACTTCATTCTAATCTGTTCCACTCCATCCTATTCTATTCCACCCCATTCTATTCCACCCCATTCTATTCCACCCCATTCTATTCCACCCCATTCTACTTCATTCTACTCCATTCCACTCCATTCTACTTCATTCTACTCCATTCCACTCCATTCTACTCAATTCCACCCCATTCCGCTCAATCCTACTCAATTCCACTCCATTCTACCCCATTCTACTCAATTCCACTCCATTCTAATCTGTTCCACTCCATTCTACTTCATTCTACTCCATTCCACTCCATTCTACTCAATTCCACCCCATTCCTCTCAATCCTACTCAATTCCACTCCATTCTACTCCATTCTACCCCATTCTACTTCATTCAGAATGGGGTAGAATGGGGAAAACTTCATTCTAATCTGTTCCACTCCATTCTACTCAATTCTACTCCATTCTATTCTAATCCACCCCATTCCACTGCATTCTACTCAATTCCACCCCATACCACTCAATTTCACTCCATTCTACTCCATTCTATTCCATTCCACTCCATTCCACCCCATTCCACTCAATTCCACTCCATTCTAATCTGTTCCACTCCATTCTATTCCATTTCACTCCATTCCACCCCATTCCACTCAATTCCACTCCATTCTACTTCATTCTAATCTGTCCAACTCCATTCTATTCCATTCTACCCCATTCCACTCAATACTACTCAATTCCACCCCATTCTACACAATCCACTCCATTCTACTCCATTCCACTACATTCTACTCCATTCCACCCCATTCCACTCAATCCTACTCAATTCTACTCAATTCTATTCTAATCCACCCCATTCTACTCCATTCCACTCCATTCTACTCCATTCTATTCTATTCTATTCCACCCCATTCTACTCCATTCCACCCTATTCTACTTCATTCTAATCTGTTCCACTCCATTCTACTCCATTATCATATGAGTAGTAATCATACAACAGCCATTGAGGATTTCTTAGAAACTATTGGCCCCACCAACAACAACAACTATTTACCCTCCCTACTAACTATCTTGTTTGATCAATAATTCCTTTATTTACCATAAAAGTTACAGGTTGTTATTAGTAATAGGGATTAATCATAATTAATTAATAACATGACAAATAAGAATGTATCATGATATGTTCCTGCTCCACTTGTCATGATGCATGGATAACTGATCTGACATGTTCATCTTGTCATACTCCACTGGTGCCTCGCCAGTGCTCACCAATTAGCGTAATCAGGTGACATATGTTATGCCACCGCCTCAAATTCCAAAGAACCTCAGAGGACAGGCACTAAGAGAGGAAGTGTTGACGGACTTCTGGCACCGGCACTGACACCGACATAGCGACACATTCATAATTGCAGCTATCGCTGCAATTATGAATATATCTATTACATAGATAGATACACACAATCAGTATAGCGCCATCTGTCGAGTAGTAGCACAACCAATTAATTAATTAATACTCAATAAATGTTTCAGCAAGCACAAGCATTCCATCTTAATCTCCCCTACGGTAGATGGCGCGTTGCACAAAACCATACCAACCAAACCTTCTAAACTATTCACAAGATGGCGCTGCGTTAAATGTAGAACGCGATATAGTTTCATTCTGACTGTCCAATATAGGTGATGGAAGACATTACTAACCTCCGGTTAGGTTAGGTTAGGTTAGGTTGGGAGTCGCGTTCGAGCCGCCGTGGCGTGCGGACGTGCGCACGGTGGCTCCGGAGCGGTGCCGGGTCGCTCCGCGGCCGCCGCCGTCCGCTCCGCGGGCGCCCGGCGTCCGTCGGCGGGGCCCGGCGCCGCTCTGGCGGCTCCGGGAGTCGCGCTGCGAACACGTCGAGACTTGTTCTCCGTGTTTCGTACGCCATCGCGAGTGAGGTCACGGAAGTAGGTCAAATGATGTGTCATTTGGCGGTCGTGTCTGTGACCCTGTCAGATGGCACACCGTGTGACTGAAAAAGTGACTTTGTGCGAAGTGAGTGACAGTGACACTATAGCAACAGCGGGCAGGTGGCCCCTGTTGCTACCGGAGTGGACTTATTGTGCGAACGGCGGGTGTGGCTCGGCCCCCGCCCACGCGCAATACACGGACTGAGGTGAGTCGCCATAGCAATAGTGAGGCAGTGCCCTGTTGCTATGCGAGACGGACTGTCGCGGCGCGCCGGGTACCGCCTCCGTGGCGCCTCGGGGCCGCTGCGGGGCCGCTCGGTGCCCGCGGGGCCGCTGGTGCCGCTCGGCGGGTCGGTGTGTCGCGGCGGACTGTGTGTGGTGGCGCCGGCGGGCGTGGCTCGTCCCCCGCCGGTGCGGGACCGCGGGACCCGGCGGAGCCGCGTGGGCACCGCCGGCGCGTCCCGCGGGACCATTTGGAGGACCGCGCGGCGCACCCGGTGTCGCGTCGATGCGTCGCTCGGCGTCGCGCCGCGCGGACTTGTTGTGGAGGGCCGCGCGGCGCGCGTGGCGCCGCGCGGTTCTATGGAGAGGACTGGCATGCGGCGGGTGTGGCCTGCTCCCGCCGCCGCCGACAGGACTGTGGCCCCTGGCGGAGCCGTGTGGGCTCCGCAAGTGTGTGGACACGGGACTGTTTGTGTGTGGAGTGCCGAACCCGGACTTGACTGTGTGGCGCTGGAGGAGGCGAGCACTTAGTGCCCTCCTTCCGGCGATGGGGACTTGCTCCCCTGGTGGCTCGCTCCTGCCTGGCGTCCGCAAGGACGATCGGCGGAGCGGTGTAGTGGCTCTTCGGAGCGCCGGGCTTTTAAGCCCGATGAGAGTAGCTGCCCCCCCCATTGCGGGGGCCGGGCGCGGTGATGGTGAATCCACCGCGTTCGTAGTAGAGCCGTACTACCCCGGGGAACGCCTTGCGACCCGGGGTATGTATGTTTGTGGGGTGCCTTGCACCCCGCGTGAGTGATGCCGTGGACCGTTCCCTAAGACGGTCAGCGGCCCAGACCACTGACGGCTGAATTGGTCGCTGTTGGTGGTCTGTGTGAGAGTCCCCGACCCGTGTCGGGGCACCGGGCGGGGCGGTGTTGCTATTCCGCCGCCTTCGTGCGCCCGGCGTGGAGGGGGCGGACGGTGCGTGCACCCGAAGTCCCAACCTAGACACTCGGGGCGGCGGATGTAGGGGCATCCAAAGCTCCAAGGAGGCGAGTGGTCAGAGGAGGGCGGGCGCGG